CGCAAACTGAGCTCAGATTGTTTGGTTCCTTGTGTGGAACTAACCCACCAGGGTTTAAGTCTTAGGCTTGGCAATGGTGGTCACATTTTCCTAGATTTATTTCAGGCCATCTAGCGATATGCTTTCAGAGGGAGGAAACACTCCCCTCGACCATGAAGGCATTTATAACGACTTCATCAATCTCAAGATAATGTGCTAGCTGAGTCTTTTGGATGTGCTCATAGGACTAGGCTGTGCATGCTTGTATTCATAAGGATGAGTGTATGACTGTCTGATCCAGACTGTGTTAAAAAAACTATGATTAGCGGAGTCGTGCAATTCATTAATAATTTATTTTGCCATCATGTAATTTTTATGTTTTGAAAATGGTTACTGTTCTAGAGGTTATACAGTTGCACGCCGCTCTCTCTCCCAACCTTGCATATAGATCTTCTCTCTCACCCCTCATTTGTTAACTGATTTCTCATCATTTATTCTATACTTTCTTGTCTTGCTATCTTCTGATGACCTACTACTCTATTATGTCTGTGTTCTCTACATGTAAAGGATTCTACCTGTGTTCTCTACATGTAAAGGATTCTTTGGACTAGCACTTTGTGAAAAAAATTCAAACTTACATTTCCAAAAATCAGCACGAACGGGCGAAAAAGAGTATACCAAGTCACCATTGATTGGTGTAAAATCTTCACTCGATAGTGATGTACCGTCTCTACTGACGAACAACGTGCCATGGAGACCCAATCGTTCATTGATAGGATATATATCAAGACATGGGTGGCTGTTGTGTAACAATGATGCCTTCTGTTCTATTTGATATGTATTTTCAAATAGAAATATTAAGTTTTGTGCACGATGGTTTTCGGAGGGGGAGGAAAAGCCTAGGTGACATGTAGTTTCTTCAGTGGAGGCAAGGAAGCAACAATGACGCATGCAAGTATAGAAAACATACGATGCAAGTTGGTCATGTCTCACATGGCTTGACCCAATAGTCAAAAACTATTCCATTATTACTTGAAATAGTGTGCACAAAGCGGGGTGCTCATAAATTATGTGCACTAACCATTTTGGAAAGAAATTGAAGGATATTAAGACAATGACACACAATTCCTCCATACAGACAAAAGACCAACAAGCATTATTAGG